GTAGGCATTTCCGCCAACGGAGCCGGACCAAAAGTATCCAGGTGACCTGAAGAACCGCCTAAAACTTCAAATTTAAAAATTACAACAAAAGTTTATTACAGTTGTATTGCCTTTTACTTTTTTAGAAATTCTACCAATTTTGTTCTAAATAATTTAGTTCTGTTTTACTTCATTTGGTAATGCATTCTGCTCTTCTACGTTCGTTGTTTGATCTTTCATATGTGTATGATTCTCCACTCATATTACAATTCTATAATATACTTGCTCTCATTTCTAGTTTAGAAAAGTCAGAAAATAAATACAATAAAAGAAGTAATTCATTCATTCAATAAACTCAACATTCTTTCAACAATTATTAAAACCAATAGGACTAATATTGGATATTCAATTTGATCACATATAATAAATAAATAATTAAGTTGTTAAATTAATAAAATTGCCTGATTCATAATTAATTTGGATTCTACATAAAAAGAAGACAATAAATAATTATTTAGGATAAGAAAAGGAAGAATATAAGTCAAATCCCATAAGATTTCTACATATTTATTGGAAAATTGAAAGTATCAAAATGTATTGTAGAAATTACTTAAAATATTATATTTTATTAAGTAATACTGTAATTGAAATGTTTGTAGATTTAAATTAATTTTAAATTGATAATTAATTTTGGTGTATAGTTGGTTGCCTTTTGGGGATGATGAAATGACGTAATTTTTGTACAGCGCCAAAAAGGCTGAACTATGGTAGTTTAAAAGAAGTTCATAGATGGAGCCAATACGCAACAACTTTAGAAAATATGTTGCCCCTTAAGTGTATGCAACTTAATATACAGTCATAATAAATTATATAAATAGTAGTTATTATTTCCTATTGTGGTTATATGATTTATTAGATATTATTTAACAATACATGAATTAATTAAAGATGATTTATTAAAAATTAGAAGACAGGTATGCTCAAATGTAATGCATTAGTTTAGCAAAAGATGTCACTGTAGGCATTTCCGCCAACGGAGCCGGACCAAAAGTATCCAGGTGACCTGAAGAACCGCCTAAAACTTCAAATTTAAAAATTACAACAAAAGTTTATTACAGTTGTATTGCCTTTTACTTTTTTAGAAATTCTACCAATTTTGTTCTAAATAATTTAATTCTCGTTTACTTCATTTGGTAATGCATTCTGCTCTTCTACGTTCGTTGTTTGATGTTTCATATGTGTATGATTCTCCACTCATATTACAATTCTATAATATACTTGCTCTCATTTCTAGTTTAGAAAAGTCAGAA